TAGGGCGCAGAGGCAGAGGACAGACGGATGGATGGATGGACGGGAGGGAGGGGCCTGGGAAGGCACTGAGGGTGCCGACCTCACTCCAGAGGTCTTCAGTAAACCGTCCCCTGCATGTCGTGTAGGGACACAGTGGTGTGGGGAGTAGAGCCTGCGGCAATGTCCAGCCTCAGGAGTCGGGAGGGCTACCTAAGGGGCGTTGTCTTGTCACTTCTGTGACCCTGCGCACGGCTACTGAGCGGCCTTTGCACACCCCAGTGCTGGTTAGGCTGACCGGATGGTCATCGAAGCAGGGCTGGGAGGGCGCGGAGGCTGGTGTCACGGGGGATGGCCATAAACCATGATTTGAAGGCGGGACAGCTCCCTCGGCATGTTTTACCTGCCTATTTGTATTGGAGGGCTACACAAAATGAGTGAGGAAATAACAGAGAGCCCAGGAGCCAGGAGAGCTGATTCAGAGGGTGTGGGTGGAGGCAGGCAGGCCTGGAGGTGAGAGGGAGCTACACTTGGAGCCTGATGCGCCATCTTCAAAAGAACACAGCGTCAAACAAACAGGGAACTTGGAAGTGACACCCTCAGTGGAAGGATAATCTTAGAGTGGGGTGGGGTGAGGTACAAACCTGTGTCCCATCAGCAAGTTTTGTGCACAGAGAAAGGAAGACAGTCCCCAAACAAAAGCAAACACAAACCAAAAAGACAAGTAAAAGTCAGTGGAAACTATGTGAATCCCAAGGTGACCTTAAAGGATTGTTACCATCAGGTTCCAAAAAAACAAAGAGGACACCACGGCCTCAAGAAAATCTGCAGTAAATATGTGTCTTGGCAGTGCTGATTGCCTGGGGGACCCTGCACAAAAGAGAACAGGCAGCCTGGACTCCCAAGAAATGAAGGGCAAACTGCCCTGCCCCATCCCCTGCTGCTGCTACCATTTGCCAGAAACCGGAGGAGAGGCGATGAGACTGGATTGTAAGGCGGGGAGCAGCACCTGAGAATCATGCTGACCATGTGAAACTGGGGACCCCAGCTCCCTTGCACCACCATCCTTTACACATGGGGAAACTGAGGCAGGGGGCTGTGACTTTGGTGCTGGGCTTCAAATCCAGGGTTTCTTACCTAATGGGCAAGTGCTTTACCACAGAGCTGTGCCCTGAGCCTGATCCTGGGCTGAAATGTCTGAGGACACAAATAGTCATTCCTTCAGCCATTGCTGAGTCAGCCCAACTGCACACAGGCACTGTGACACCTGCAGAGAACAGGACTAGGGCGCTGTAGCATGAAGCACCCTGTAGAGAGAGCCCACTGAATGGACGGCCCCAGAAACAAACGTGTCAGCACAGGGGAAGCGTGGACTCCACCAGGGTTGGGCCTTGCCACTGGGTCCTGTGTTTTTATATAGAATATACAAATATATTCACGGCAGGTATGCTTTGTTGTAAATACTCAAGCCTGGGATAGATGAAAACACTGACCTCTGACCGCTGCTCCACACCTGGGGTGCAGGAAGAAGCACTGTCAATAACCACGAACTTTGTGAAAACCGGAAAGGACTGCAGGAGACCTGGGATGTGGACACCAGGCCCACCCTGCTTCCGGCCACAGTGAGCACTTGCCCTTTGCCTGCACTCAGGGGACATCCATCCTCCATCTTCTGGCCCCTAGTGACTCTTGGCATCTCCACTGTCCTGGCCTCCTAGGCAAAGCTCCCTTCCCTCTGGGTACACTGGCCCACCCCGCACCTCTCCCAGTGGCATTGTGTCTCAGCCTCGTGGGGACCGGGGGATGGCGACAGCGTGGGGAGTGCCAGTCCTGAGTGCAAGTGCACACCTTACTGCAGCCTACCCGGGCATCCCCCTGGGTCGTCCCTGGCATCCGCCACTCTGCCTCTCATCCTCTGGGCTGCCCCCTTCCCCATAGCTGTGCCTAGTCCGTCGCACCACAAAATCTTCCTTGCAGATTCCACACACCTGGGGCAAGAGGAGCCCGGGACGAAAAGCACCAGCACCGGGTTGCCAAGAGTGGCGTGGACAGGAGGAACCACATGCAGCTGTGGGCCTGTGAGGCCAGGGCACTTGTCATTTTCTTTTCTTTTAACGTTATAAAAAAAAAGGAGGTTTACTTAGCTCAGACTTCCGGAGACCCAGAGCCCTGCGCACCTTCGTTGGCTTAGGGCTAGGGCTGCACTACGCCATGGTGGGAATGTGTACGTTAGAGAAATGTCATGTGGTCAAACAAGAAGCCCACAACACGGTGGCATATGGCTCTTTTAAAATTTTTATCAGGGTTGTGGATTTAGCTCGGTGGTTCCAGCGCCTGCCTCGAAAGCAGAAGGACCTGAGTTTGATCCCCTGCACCAAAAATAAATAGATTTTTAAAAAATTTTTATGAGCATGTGTCTGTCGTTTGTTACATTCCTCATGCACAGAACACATCCCAGTTCTTTCTTTGTCCTCTTGTCTTCCCCTCCCTTTCCTCCCTTGTCAAAAGACCTACGTCCCTGTTTCCTGTCTTCTCTCTTTCTTTATTTTGTTCTCATATAAGAGAAACCACATGGCATTTAAGCTTGTGTGTTTGATTTATTTCACATAACATTGCGGTTTCAAGGTGCGTCCGTTTTCCTAATCACGACTCAAGTTTGTCCTCCTTGGCTTGCTCAGTTTTGTGTCCCTGGTGCCAATGCAGAGCCTGGCATGTTGTGAGAGTCACTAAATGTTTGCTGAATGAAGAACACAGGAACACGGGAAAGCTGAGGGAGCTACTGGAGACCGTGAGATCACATCAGGGGCTGGGATTACAGGAGCGTGCCGCCACGCCTGACAACCTTGTGATTTTTAAATATTGGCAACGAATGCGATCCTGAAATAGAAAACATTTCACAGGACAGCAGTGTGGGATGCCAAAGCCCAGATGTTGGGTAGAGGCCTATCTGTGACCTCTGGCTGAGAACCACAGGAGCTACGCTTGATTTAACAAGACATCACGCGTTCTGGCAGAGGCTGGTGCGTTCTAGTACTTTCCCGGACAGCAAAAAACAAAACCAGAGAGGTGAAGCTGCTGCAACTCTAAGGAGAAAACAGATGCGAGGCCCTGGGTGAGACTGCACCAGAGCCCGGGCATGGCTGGGTGGGGGCCAGAAGCAGCACCTTGGTGCACGCACGCCCTGCCTTGGGTTAGGGCACAGAGCTCACCCTAGAAGTGAGAGCAGGTTGTCCCATAGCCCAGGAGCAGGACACCGGGGACAGTTGGCTAAGGGAAGTCCAGGCTAACAGGGGCCCAGAGTAATTTGCTGGCCAGTGGTGGGCAAGCCAGGCCAAAAACCGAAGCCGCCTCCTCCAGCCTGCCTTTGTTTTATTATTAACAACTTCGTGTGATGCGGTTCACGGTTCTCTGGCCGTCACTGTGCTCACAGAGTTATACAACCATCACAGTTTCAGAGCGCTTTTTCCATCTCCCTTAGAGGAATCCCGGGTCTACAGCAGTCACTCGCCATGCCTCCCTTCCATGCCCTGGGGCCACTGTGAATCTGCTTCTTGTCTCTCTGGACTCAACTGCTCTGACATTTCCCGTAAATGGGTCCTCTCGTGGCTCTGGAGGTCCCGGAGAAAGCTGCCAGCCGGCTCTGTGCCTGGTGAGGACACGTCCCTCACAGGTGGCTCTATCTGGGTGACCCGTGGCAGGAAGGAGAGAGCGTGGAAAGGAGATGAATGCTGTGTCTTCACCGCAAAAGGACCTCATCGGGTCCCCCCGGCTCTGTGGCATCACAAAGAGTTCCCCTTTTTTTTTTCCTCTGAGGCCTTGCCCCTTAATGCCGACAGGAAGGGGATTTCTTTTCAAGAGGAATTTTGGAGAGGATGTTTTGAGACCGCAGAGTCTAGCGTAATTTAAGGTCCAACCATGGCGTGCTTGCATCTGTACTGTACTTTTTATGGCTGAATTCTTATTCCATCACATGGCTCTGCCACATTTTCTTAGCCATCCCCTAGTTGGTGGGAACTTGGGTTATTTTTACTCTTTGGTGCTCACACATATGAATGACCACAGATAAACTTCTATGTGAACGTGTTGTCAATTCTCACAGGCATGTGTCCCCAGGCAGGGGTGGCTGAGTCACGTGGGGACTCTGTTTAACTGTGTGAGGAACGACTCAGCTGTTTTCCAAAGCGGCTGCACCATGGGATATTCCCGCAGCAGGGCACAGGGGTTCCAGTCTCTACCATCTTTGCCCACACCCACTATTACCTTCTCGCTTGGCTGAGGCCGTCCTGGTGGAGGTGCCACAATGCCTTGCTATGGGCTTAGCTGAGCCTCGTCAGTAACAAAGCTGCTTGTTTGATCTGTGTCGGTCTTCCTCATCTTGTCTTCTGTGGTTCTGAACTAATGCATCCTGTTGGAGTCCATTTCCCAAGGTGTAGACTTCTCCCACGGGAGGTCCATTTGCGTCTTTCCCTTCTCCCACGAGTGAGCTGCTGAAGACCAGAAACTTGCCCAGTTGCCCATCCATGGGGGTGGGGTAGATGAATCATGGATTGATCATTGATGCCTGCTGTGGTAGGGGACAGACCAGCTACACACATGGGGGTGGCTGTAGAACCAGCTCTGCAGGCTGTGTGGTGTCGGATCCCCAGCTGTAGCGTGGTTTTCAGGTCCGTAGTCTGACCTCTGGCGCTGCAGGAATGCTTGCCCAAAGTGGCTGTAATCAGGACAGAAAATATTTTTGCTTCGTACTGTTGGTCCCCTAGCTGTCCTGATGGAGCTGGGTCTGGGCAGCTGAGCTGTCCTTCCCGGGCTCCATCTGTGGTGCACCAAGCAGGTGACCTCATTTAGCTGGGAGCAGAAATAGAGCAGCAGCCCTGATGGTACCAATTAGCAGCTGCTCGAGAGTGTGAGCCCGGGCCTGCAAATGGGCCACATCCTCTCTCTGACATACAGGATGTGGAAAATTCTACAGTGCACCTCCTTCCACTGTGGGTGGGGCTCTGAAGGTGGCTCCCTCCCTCGAGACACCCAGCTTTGTCTCTCGCTTGTGCAGAGGTCAAGGGTGAGTGCCCTTGAGGCTGGAGTGGGCTGGGGCAGAGTGGGGACGGGCTCCTGTGATCTGGACACAGCAGGGGCTTCATTCTGTCTGCTCAGGCTCAGGGGTCCAGACGTGGAACCCGCTCTGCACCTGGGCCCTGGAGGCCACCTGCTCACTGCCCCAGCTCAGTGGTAGATGCCTGGACAAACCCTGTGTAAAACCTGGGTGTGCTGCCGCTGCTGTGGGGTGGAGTTAGGGTGGAGGTCAGGGGTACCATGATCCCCCAGAGTGCTTAGGCCCTGGGTTCCAACCCGAATCCCCCCACCCCATAAAAAGCAACAGAAATGACTTTGGCTGGGAGTCAGGGCCCTGGGCTGAGTCCAGCCTTATCCCAAAACCTCACTGGTCCCTCCCTCCGCCTCCAGCGGCCAACTGCAGAGCCGTGTGAGCACTCCATGTGGGCGCGAACCTCAGCGCCCACCAGCTCTGACTCTGAGGATCCCGGAACACCCTGGGCCCCAGGCATGTGGCCGACTGCCTGCTGTTTTCTGGGTACATTTTGTGATTTCCCTGGGAGCAACTTGTGGAAAGAGCCAAGGCACAAGGTACACAGTTTCTTTGTCTCCTGCCTCAACTCTTGTGGAAAATAATTGCCCTTTCTTTTACCTTCTCCCTCCCCATAAAGCAGGCACGAAGTGCGTCACCGTCACCGTCACCGTATTAGCTCAGAGCCACAGGAGGACGCCAAAGATGCAGCGAGCTGGGTCCCCACCTACCCGAGGCCAGGCTTCGAGTGCCCGGAGGGAGGGGCTGCAGACCTCAAGAGAAAGCACACTGCGTAGTGCGGAGCCGCTGAGAAGTGGGACAGCTTTGGGCTACGTAATCTGATTACTCTGGTGCTCTGGGGGAGCTCCGGGTGTGGGGCTACTCAGTGGCTGGCCTTGGAGGAGGAGGCAGCTGGGTGTGGAGTTGCCCTGCTCCGGTGGTAATTAAATACCAGCCCCTGACACTGGGGGACACTTGCATCCATCTCACCCAAGCAGCTGCCTATGCATTGCCTCATTTGAACTGGAGAAATGCGCGGGATAGTGGCTTTTATTCCCATTTTACAGATGGGGCTGGTGAGGCCCGGAGAGTGGCTGGGTCTTGCTTGGTCACATGGACTTGGGGCCACTTCACCCCTGGCCTCTGGCTGCACGTGATGTTTCCAGGTTTACAGTGGGCGACTTGATGCTGTGACTCCAGGAGCCCGAGATGACAGAGGAGATGGTAGCTCTGGGAACCTGGAGGGGTTGGGTCAGTGTCCAGCATGGTGTGGTGCTGGGCTCCAGGGACAGGTCCCCGAGAGGGTGGACGGCACAGGGCAGGGAGGCTCAGACATCGTGCTGTGCTAGGGGACAGCACCCAGGCCGTCACTCACAACTTCCCAGAACCCTCAGTCCCCAGCTTTCCCGCCTGCTGTCCCTGCCCACCCAGTCACTAGTGGGCGTGATGACTCACTCCCGCCGCAGCTCCCCAAGGACACCACAAACTCCTACTGGTGGGAGGGGCCCCTGGAGGGCTGAGGCCTGGAGGCTGAGGCTGGAAGTCTCTGGGGCAGCAGAGCGTTTTGCTCAACTCTTTTTGTTTGTTTTTTGTTTTTATTTTTGTTTTTAGACAGTCTCACTGTGTAGTTTAGGATAGTCCTGAACTCATTATGTTGCCCAAGGTGGCCTCAAACTCACAGTGACCCTCCTGCCTCAGCCTCCTGAATACTAAGATTACTGGTGTGTGCCAGTAACCACGCCCAGCGTTTGTGGGGTCTTAAAGAACTCAGTGAAGGCACAGGGATGTGAATGGCTCCTGGACAGAGGGCATCAGCTATGGTGAAAAGCATCCTGGAGTGTGATGGGGGACAGAGAGTACTGGGTGGTGAGGAAGCGGGGGCACTCACTTTGGAGAGCCTGGAGGACCAGAGCCAGGAAACCATCCTCTCAGACACAGGGAGCCACAGATGGTTCTTGGGCAGAGTGCACCACAGCACCACACAACTTGTTTTGGGGGACAGCGCTGGCTGGGGAGGTACCTCGGGGGAAGCCCTGCAGGAGTTAAGGTGCCTGGCTTGGCATGGGCAGGACGCCTGGCTGTTGGGGATGGGGTGGCTGAGCAGTGCAGAGGTGTCTGGGGTCCGTGGTTGACAAGAGCAGATGAGGAAACCAGGAAACCACAGGGCTGACGGGGTGTGGCCAGGCCCTGACAGGCACCCTGTCCGCCACACACCCTTGGTCTTGGTCCTGTGCTCGAGAGCCATCCGTGCTGGTACCTGGGACTACAGCCCTGGCCGAGAGCCCATGAGGGCAGCAAGGAGCCGAGTCCCTTGTTCAGCCCCAGTTCAAAGAGCGAGAAGGCCATCGGTGCCCCTCCCTCTTCCCTCCTCCTCTCTTCCCAGACCCCTTCTCCTTTAGAAGAAGACTTTGAGTTCTTTTGGCAAGGCGGTGGATTTAACCCCTATTTTACAGATGGGGAAACCGAGACCCAAAGGGGCTGGGTGCACCTAGGCCACTTTCCCTCCCTTCCTGTCACACCTCCCCGTCACCTCTGTGCTAGGAACAATGTGAGGTCCGACCTTGAGCCTTCACGTAGGGAGCCACTTACCTATCTTACAACTGTCACTAACCTTTTTAACTTAGTATGGTACTGGGGATCTAACCCAGGGCCTTCACCCTGAGCTACATCCCCAGACTTTTTTATTTTTATTTTGCAGACAGGGTCTTGCTAAGTCACCAACTTGCCCAAGCTAGGCTCAAACTTTCCATCCTCCTGCCTCAACCTCCCAGAGTGCAGGGATTACAGGTATATGCCACCATGCTTGGCTGACACTAACATTTATAAACTGCATGGCCTGGTGGGGCGCGGAGCCCTGCCTTTAATAATAAGCCTGCCTCAGCACCCTCTGCAAACTCTGCCCCAGAGAAGAGCTGAAAGGGTCCCAGGCTTTGGGGCTGGGCTTCCGAGCCCCACATAGCCAACAAGCCCTCGTTCTATTCAGCCCAGCTTGCTGCTGCTGCTCACCAAGTGGCCTAGAGGTGACCAGAGGGAGGTGCAGGAAAATCCTCATAGCCAGAGCAGTGGGGACAAGGGTGGGGCTCGATCAGGGCCCCCTGGCAGAGCCGTCTTTCTGCCTGCTAGACTGGCTGGACACTCACCCCAGGCTGACCAACCCCTTTTTCCTCAAAACCAGCATGTTCTTGTGGACAGGGGATTGAGGACATGGGTGATTTCGTGCAGGCAGCCAGGGCACAGCTCCCACAGGGCCCCAGGCCCAGGCCCAGGCTTCCTATCTTCCGACTACTGGGCACCTTATTCACCATACTTCTCCAATCAGCGATGCAGGGGTCAATCAGTTCCATTCAGCCAGAGCGCATGGCTCTGGTGGCCTGGGCTGCAGGTGACCCAGGGTTTTGTACCACTTGTGCCACCTAGAGGTGGTTAGGAGACAGCAGCGAGGGAGGGAAACCTGAGACCGGCTTCACCAAGGCCATCCCCTGCCACAGCCTGCCAGGGCTGCTGTCACCTTTACCACCCTTACAAGTGGGGACCTCACTGGCTATGGGTGTGGAGGATCTGAAGGGAGAGTGGCATGGGAAGCCCAGGGAGAGCCGAGGCCCAAGCCTGTCCCTGGAGGTGCATGGTATACCCGGCCCCTGCCCAACCCCAAACCTGGCCCTAAGCCTCCTCCTGGCCCTGGTCCCCCAGCCCTGTGTTTCTTCAACCTGCCTTCCTTCTGCTCCCCACCTACCCCACCCAGCTGTGTCCAGCACTGATGCCTTTATGCATGGGTGAGGTGGGTGACTTTCCAAAGTGGCAGGAGTCCCATAGAAGGTGCCATCAGGTGTCCTTTTGCAGGCTTAGTCCCGTGTGCTGGGGCAGGAATCATTGTGAGGTGGTGGCTACCAAAGCTGAATTCCAGTAGGGTGCAACCCTCATCCCCTTGCCATGTCCCAGGGAGATCTGCTCTGGTGGCCACCTCCCCTCCTTTAGAGGAAGCAGTCCCACCCTAGGTCACTGGAAGCAGGAGGGTGACCCCGAGTAGCCAGCACAGAGCACGGGGACTTGTTGCCGAGGCCTCAGAGCTGAGTGAAAAAAGACTGGATTCTGGAATTTTATTCCTGTGTGGTTTCCTGAGCAGCAGGATTGTAAAGAGCAACTCTGACTGGCGGCCTGACATCCGCTGAGTGTCACCCACCATGGCCTTAAATCCCCTCCCCACAGGCAGGCAAACTGAGGCCCAGCAGAGTAAACTCCTGCCCCAATTGGCAGCAGGCTTGAGACTCAAAGTCTGGCTTCAGAGTCGCGGGCCCCAGTGCCTGCCCGCTGGGTTCATGGTTTCCCATTGAGCACACTGAGGCCTGCAGAGGCGTTTGCTGAGGAGCGGCACTGGGGATGCCTCACAGGAGGACACCCCACCTCCCTGTGCCGGGCAGGCAATTGCAACCGGATCCAGGGAGTCCCTCCCCTCAGAGGGGTCCTCAGGTGCTGCGGGGACTTGACTTGGAGACCAGGCAAAATCTGCCTTCCTGCCCCTTTCCTGGGATCCCCTGCAGGCTTCCTGGGCTTCCCCTGGGGACTTCGTCAGGCTGCTCTCCCGGCCTCATGTCTCTAGCTCTGCGTTGCCCAAAGGTGCTGTTCGGGCTGCAGCCCTGGCTGTGGGTACACAGTTCCTCCTGCAGGATCTGCCCAGCCCAGAATCCAGGAGGTACTGCTCTTGGCTGTGTGCTCATCCTTTTACTGCCCCCCTTGTCTCAGTACTGGGAATTGAACCCAGCGTCTTTCCACTGGACTATATCCCAGGCCTTCTGTATATTTCTATCTTTTTGTTTGAGGTAGGGTCTTGCTGAGCTCAAACTTGTGATCGTTCCTCTACCTCCCAGAGTGCTGGAATCATAGGCATGCAGCAGTATTCGTGGCTTGCTTGCTTTTGTGTGTATATAGGTATGTATGTATGTTTGTTAGTTTGTTTTTGGTACTGGGGATCGAACTCAGGACGTCGTGCTTGTGAGACAGTGTGTGTATGTATGTACGTACGTATTGTACTGGGAATCCAGGAGCTTCCACAAGTGAGGCAAGGCTCTGCTATCGAGCAGACCTTTTAATTAATGAATTAATGTGTGACAAGGTCCCACTATATATTCCAGGCTGGCTTTAAACTCATTATGTAGCCCAGGCTAGCCTTGAACTCCCAGCAATCTTCCTGCCTGAGCTTCCCAAATACTGGGATTACTGGTGTGTACCACCACGCCTGGCTATTCCTATTTTGACACAGATCTCACTAAATTGCCCAGGCTGGCAACCCTCCTGCCTCGGCCTCCTGAGTAGCTGAGAGTACAGGCACGTACCCCATGCTTCGCCACTTTCTCTCCTTTAAAATGGAAATTGAGGCTCCTGCACCTGACGGTGACACGTTTCTCTTTGCCCTTGCTCGGGGCCCCTTCTGCTTTCCAGTCTCTGCCTTGCTCTTCCATAGGCCCATACCTCCCTCTCCAGGCCTCTTGGTCCCTTTCCACAGTGAGCCAGTGACACTGTGACTCTCTCTGGCTTCTCAAAGCTCAGCACTGCCAGAAATCTCCTCAGGACTCCTCCCTACCTGTGGCTGGCACAGTGGGTACCAAGAGAAAGCCAAAGGGTGGTCTGGATCACTTCCTCTGCACACTCAAAGAGTCATCATGGCCTCTGGTTGATATCATGAGCTGGGCATGTCCTGTTTTCATAGCTGTCGCCTGAGGATGTCCAGAATTGGCCTCTGGCTCCTCCTCCTGGCTTCCCACAGCCACAGTCACGGGGTGGTGGAATGGAACATGTAACACAAGGACAGGGAGGGACAGCTGGGGCTCAAGAACAATCCCCGTCAGTCCTGGGGATTGAACCCAGGATCTTTGCACTGAGCTACATCCCCAGGCTTTAAAGTTTTTATTTAAAACATTTTTTTTTTTAAATTTCAAGATACAGTCTCACCACATCAATCAGGTTGGGCGCAAACTTGTGAATTTCCTGCCTTAACTTTCTGAGCTATGGGAAGGATCCAGGGTCTTAAAGCTATTGTCACTCCTGATCTTTCTTTTCCTTGATGGTCTTTGTGGCTAGCTTCATACTCTGCCAATATGGACCCCTACCCACCAACACACACACAGGGATCATGGCCTGCAACTCCCAGATCTCCTACCTGACACCTTCTGCCGCGGGGCTGGGCTGGTGGCCTACTGTCTCACCCTTAAACTGGTCAGTCACCCACACTCCCAGCCACCCACTCTTGGGGAGTGCTGAGCCCTTTCTGCCCAGGCCCAGAAAGAGGAGCATTTGGGCCCAAGGAGTTTGAGACCAGCCTGGACAACACTGCAAGACCCCACTGCCCAAAAAAGAAACCGTCTCATAAATGCACAAAAAAAGGTCGTACGTATTTGTTATCGCTGGGATATAGGCATATGTCCTGTGAGTCCTGTGCAGATCCTAGTCCTAGAGGCTACATCTGCATTACTTTAGTTTCCAGACCCGGCCTGATACCAGACTCTTGGAATCCTGTCTCCTTTGTTCAAATCCACGTCCAGAGATGGTCTGTCTTGGCTTTGTCCTTGTAACTATATTGCTCGTGGCATCCATGTTCTTGATCACTTTTTCTAACCGCATCCTGGCTTCCTATTTACTTCCGGTCTCATTTGTGGATAAACATGTTCTCTAATGTAGCGCTGGCTGAGATCTAACTTCTTTTCCCTCAAACCAACCCATCATAGACTTATGCTGCCGACATGCTCCTTTCTCGTGTCTGTTGGTGCCAGTTACCATCTTCTGCTTAGCCAGTCTTCAAGATTCCATCAATTCATTTTTGCTTCTTCCTTGAGCCAGTGGTAAACTATGCGAAACAACTAACTCTAAGGCGTTATCACATCTCTTCAGTCACTAAAAGGCTTTCAATTTTTCTTTAAAACTTTTTTTTTTTTTGGTACCAGGGATTGAACTCAGGTCCTTGTGCTTGTGAAGAGGGCAGTGCAACCACTGAGCCAAATCCCCAGCCCTCCCGACCTTCTTTTAAAGTCTTCCAGCTTTCCTTTTCTTTCTGCTTCCATTGTCTTGGCCCTGCTTCCTGGCTCCTTCCTCACTCACTGATTCTTGCAATCAGCCAGACAGAACCGGAGAGAATGCTCTCGGTCCGACAGTGTCTGCAGGGGATCCTTGAGGCTATTAGGAGCCTATATCTGGGGACGTAGGGGAAGAGATCGTTGGGGGCATTCCCAAGCCCTACTAGAATTCCAGGATATGTAATTCCAGCTAAGTCAGGAAACGGTCCTCTAGGTTCACTGTTACCATAACTCTGGACATTCTGTCCTTGGGTAGGGACAGGATTCCGGGAGAGTTTATAAAGCTACGTTTTAAAGAAGCCCCAAGGACCTAGAGGTGCCAGGAGATTGCCCTGTGGAGATTCCTGGGGAGTTTTTACAGCTGCGCCAAAAGGGGATCCTTAAGAGTTCCTGTGGTTGTCTTCGTGACAGGCACTAGCAGAAGGCTCACTGTGTGAGGTGCTGGAGCTGCTGCTATAGATAGGTTGGAATGATACAAGTCCCACTTGGCTGCATCTCACAAACTAAAAGTAGGCGTAGAGAATAAAAATGCAGTCTGGCAGGTGCTGCGTGACGTGTACAAGGAGCAGCAGAAGGACCTGCTCTTACCACTGAGCAGTTCGGAGAGCCCACTGTGCTGTGTTTTGAGCACAAGGTTGGCATATGACTAAGATAACACATAAGAGACCACAGCAAGTCCTAAATAAATGTTATTATCAGTAGATAAAGAGGCATGGAAGAACTTTAATCAAGAGATATAATCAGGTGCTAGGATGTGGCGCAGCAGTGGGGCACTTGCCTAACATGCAGGAGGTCCAAGAAAATAATTACATTTTTGCTTTAAAATTCCCTGCTCTCACAGTCCCGTCCAAGGCCATTTATATAACGCAAACTACGTATGTATTTCAAGTTTTCTGGCAGCTACGTTAACAACGAATAACACCCGAAAAATTGTTGAAAGTACTTATAAAGACTGTCAAACGTTTTTGAGGGGAAAAAAAATTTAGGTGCAGTATTTTATGGGGGGGATAAGATAAATCCATAAAAAAGTAAATAGACATGTGGAAAGTTTTAACAATGTATCCTATTCAACCCTATGTATTCACGGTATTATTCAAAATGTAATCATTGTAAAACTTCGTATTTGCACGCCAGTCTTCGGAGTCCCGTATTTCCCGCGTGAAGCGCCCCTCGGCCCTAAGCGGCCAGGCGCACCCCTCCCGCCTCCGGGCTCCGCCTTCTGCGGGTGAAGCGTGCCTGACGCCCTCGCACATGCTCCATCCGTGTCACCGCGCGGATCTATCCCTGGCCGGCTGGGGTCCGCGGAGCAGAGCTCCGGGCAGGCCAGATCGCCCACGAAGCAGCGGGAAAGCAGGACTTAGGAAACCTTGGCAAACAGCCCGACGTCGCCCTTTAACGCCGTCACGCCTGGGGCGGAGGCGGGACTTCCGGGAACGCGGAGGCACAACTTCCTGAGAGAAGCGGAAGAGGCTCTGAGGTCTGCGCCTCAGACCCAAGGAGTCCTGGGATCGCCTAGGGGCCACCCAGAAAGGGCAGCTGGGGCCGGCCGGCTGCACTCGGGGTGTCGGAGCCTCGGGTCTGAGGGATGAGGAGCTGCCATGGCCAGCGACGGGGCCAGGAAGCAGTTCTGGAAGCGCAGCACCAGCAAGGTCCCGGGCAGGTGGGTGTGACAGGGAGAGCCGGGTCAGGGTCAGGGGTCAGAGGTCAGGTGGCCCAGTAGGCCGGCTGAGCTGAGGGTGGAGTCGGGGTCTGGGGAGGGAATCTGGGCTCCAAGGAGGGGAACTTCGGCGACTTGGAGGTTGCTGGGCGCTGTGAGGGGCTCAGGGGGAGCTCAGGGGTCGGAACGTGGGGTCTGGGATGTGACAGTGGTCGCTCGCAGGAGCAAGGCTTGCAGGGAGGACGAGCAGCCCTAAGTTTCCCCGGAGCTGGCCGGTTGTCTTCTGCCTAGGCTCTCTGACCAGACTGAAGGCAACTGATTCGGGTCGTGTCCTGGAGAGTTTGGCAGTCGGGAAACTATCCGGCCTCGGATGTGCCTGTTGGGGAGATCACTTTCTGCAGAGGAGTGGTGCTTCTGAGCGACTTGCGGTGCCTTCTCGTTGCCCTTGTGAGCTGCTGCTTGTGCCTTGAGCACAAGAGCGTTGGATGTACCCTGTGAATTTCCGTGTTCCCACTTTCGGGTCTCAACACCAACTCCAGTGTGTCTGCAGCAGGAAGCAAATTAAAAAAAAATTTTTTCCCCCCTAAAAATTAAATGCCAGGGTGCACTCTGGAAAATTAAATACCTAGGTGCAGCCCAAAGCCCGTCTCTGATTGGTGTGGCACTGAGCCCCGCAGGGCCCTAGGGAATGAGGAGACCTTACACGGAAAATGCCTGGGGTAAAATCAGCTACTGGTGAGCGCAGACTGGAAACAGGCACCATCCGAGATTTCAAAACATAGTTTGTTCTGCCCCGAAAAAGCCTGAGATATTGAAAACTTTCATAAGCACAGTACAGTGGTTTGTGCTCCTGTGTTTAGTAATAGACACCGTGTGCGTGGTAGAATTGTAAATTTTAGAGTTCACGGCATAGTCATGAGAGCTGTCAGGAGTTGGCTGGAGTGAGTTTCTGACTGCTCAGACACAGTGACTCAGAGGATAAGTGCATCACCGAAGGTGATCAGGGAACCTGTTTTACTCCACCGGGATGGAGCTTTCTTGGACAATAACTTTCATCAAAACCTGTGTCAGGGTTCAAGATGAGGTGAAGATTCTGGAGTGGAGGTGGATAAGACGTTCAAGAAGTGACAGGGACAAGTGGTATGGAACATGGAATCCAGGGAAAAGGAGCCGCATGGCACTGTAACTTTTATGTGTTGCTTCCAGGTCTTGAGATTTTTGATTTCCCCCAGTCTAAACTCTAATTAGATCTTAACAATTAGGTGAGATATAAGATCTGCCATGTTGTATTATAACAGTGAATAAACCTTTGGATTGAAGACTATGTCTCTTGCTGGTTTGTTATTGTACTGGGTTAAACAGTCCCTACATTCATGTCTGTCTGGCATCTGTAAATGGGACCTTGTTTAGAATTACAATCTTTTCAGAAGTAATCAAGTTGAGAGGAGGTTGTGTGGATCAGGAAAGGCCCTGATCCCAAGATTGGCATTCTCCTAAGATGAGGGAAATTTGGGGATAGAAACAGACAGATACAGGGAAGACAGAAGGAGGGACTGGAGTGATGTGTTTACAAGTCTGGGAAAGTTAGGGGTTGCTGGCAACTACCAGAAGCAAGAAGTGCCAAGGAAGGGTCCTCTCTAGAGACTTTGCCTCTAGAGACAGTACCTTAATTTCACTGTCTGTTCTCCACAGCGGAGAGGATACATTGCTGATGTGTTCAGTCACCATATTTGTGGGGATTTGTTATGGTAGCCACAGGAAACTAGTACAGGCCCAGCTTCTGCTATGAGAGCCTGCATTACCAAAGACAGACTTTCTTTTTCCTTGGAGTTTGGTGCTGTACTGTGTCACGGGAACTTTTGAGAGCAGCTTCTGTGTGACAGGTGCTGATGGTATTGGAGCCTTGAGATTTGTTAGTGACTGTCACTGAGAGGCCAGGACAGAGGGAGAGTCAGGCCCACCAAGAGGCCTGTGTAGCCCACGTGGTCCCCTTCCATCCTGTGGTCCTCGCGCCTGGCAGTGCTGCTGCTGCAGGCGACAGGCTGGCATTCTCCCCGAGGAGGATTCACAGCAGCATACCATTTGCCTTTCAGTCTTCACTTACCCAGAGCTCCCAGCTTTGCCTGCTCTTTCGAGTGGTTCCATGGTCTTTCTCTTTATTGAGTGTTGATCTCACCCAGGGAAGCGCAGGAGGGAGACTGTACCTACCACAGGACACTAGTCTGTGAAGGGACCTTTACATAGCACAGCCCATAAGAAGTCCTTGATAGTGCAGCTGACTCTCATCAAGCCCTCAGTGCTTGCCAACTCCTGGTCTTGGTGCTCCACAAGTCTGTGTCTCCCAGGGGTAACACATATTTTGTCCTCCGGGCGATGCTTCCTGAGGCAGGCTTGGCTGAAAGCTGCATGGTTGTCTTCCCCCGCGATGCTATGCTGTGTGTAGACATTTTCGCTTAGCCTCTGTGCCCCTTTATATGCAGACCACTGCTCAGTTGCCTGGCTTCCTCTGCTGACTGTCCTTCCTTAGCAGTTTGCCCTCCGCTGTGCTGCTAGGCTTCTGGGTCTTCTGTATTCTGTGCTCCAGGAGCTGAGCAGAGTATTCCTTTCTTCCCTTTTATCGAGCTTATCTTTCTTCCTTTTCAGACTGCTCCTCCTTATAAAGCCTGGCTTGCTTATATGCAGCTTGAACCCAAGTCCTATTTTTAATTATTTGTTTGTTTTATATTTTTGGTACCAGGGATCAAACTCAGGTCCTCGTGCTTTTGAAGAAGGCGGCAGAAACACTGAGCTAAATCTAAATGCACGGCTTGCATTCTTCACCAGGAAGTGAGCACTGCACATTTAGGGAATGCGCTTCACTCACCTCCCATCGTTCTGATAGTTATTACTGAGCAGTGGTGGTTGATCCAGACTGGTCCAGTTGCTCAGACTGACATTAGTTTGGAGGAAATAAGTGATTTGTCCAAGGTCGTATGCTGTCCTGTGCACACCTTGGTATCAGGTTGATTATATGGCTGAGGCTGTTAGCAGTTTCTTTTCCACGTGAGCTAGCAAGCGTGGTATGGTGGAAAGACCTTTCACTAGGAATTGGGTGGATTTTACCCCTTTTCCGCCTCATCTGTGTAATATTCATGAGGTCACATCAGCCCTGGGGCCATTGGTTTCTGCCTCCGTGGCATTAGACTGAAGTGTCCGTGGCGTCTAGAGGAAGATTTATTTGCCTAGCCTGATTCTATTTGGTGAGGAAAGGAGAGGCCGCTTGGAGATCATTCTTCCAGTAAATGTTTCTTTAACACGTACTGTATGCCAGGACAGGCTCCAGGTGTGAGGGTCATGTTAATGAACAAACTAGACCAGCATCTCTGCTCTCACAGTTTATCATGAGTGGGAGAGCAGAGAACACCTTAACAGAGGGCTAACTGTTGGGAGGCATTAGTGTAGGGGAGGGGGCTAGGAAATCCAGAAGCAGGTGATAAAGGGTCTGGGACACCCTCAGCCAGCAGGTGCTATTTGTGGAAGGGTTTGTAGGAAGGAGAGAGGAACCCTCTGGGTGGCTAGGGGAAGAGTGGTGCAGGCAGAGGGGCCAGCAAGTGCGGAGGTGCTACTCTGGGAGTGAGGCCGGTGTGGCTGTAACCGAGGGAGGGGAGAGCTGTGTGTCCCATGCAGATGTGGACAGCCGCTCTTACTCTGAGGTGTGGGGGGCCCTGAGCAGAGTGGTGTGGCCTGTGCTCAGTTTGGCTGTTGTGTGAGATGCTGCAGGCACGCGTACCCCCAGGTGAGAGTGGTGTGGAGGGAAAGGCAGTAGGTGGTTGATAAGAACGAGAAGGTCCAGTCTCTGGCTCTCTGGGCCTGGTCTTTCTTGGGCCATCAATTCACTTGGCTCCCAAAGGGCTGTTGCTTTCTGCAGTCGCAGTTGGAATTCCTGCCGCTCTTCAACTGCCAAGACCTATGCTTGCACACTGGGCTTGGAAACACAGGCAGCCTTTCAGCGTGGTGCTGAGGTTTGCTGTTTCAGCACGGCCCCGCTTGGCAGTGTATGCTCACTGGCTGGAGGTTGTGCATGTGGCAGGGTATGTGAGGTGTGATGTGTGCAAGTGTGATGGTGGCAAGGCCCTGGGTGCTTGAGATTAGGCTGCAGTGGGGGGAATGCTGTGCCCTGACGGCATTCAGCTCCTACTAGCAGAGATACAAGGAGTCAGAGGAGAGAGTTGGCTTAGCAGGCCAGGATGAATCTTCAGGAGTTGCTGGAGATAATGAAATCATTCAAAGGGACACGAGGACCTTCGTGTTCTCAGGGCCAGTGCTGAATGCAGGGTAGCAGATGTGGCCTGCAGAGGCTGGGGGAGGAGGAGCCCAGGGCTATTCCAAAGGGGTCTGCAGGTGGTGATCTGGCACCTTGGCCGAATAGCAAGGTCCTCCGTGGGTGGGATGGTCACACCTTCCTGGAGGACATCCCGCCTACACTGGGACCTGGAAGTGGAGGAGGAACCAGGCTGCCTGCAGAGATGGGAGGTGGACACAGCCCTCCTGCTGAGGAGACTGCCTCCGTGGAGGGAGGAGGGCTTGCACAAGCCAGGCTCTGGGGATCTGAGAGGGGACCTCAGTCCTGAGAGCCTTGAGAAAGCTCTAAAGTGCCTGGCAGCAAGTGGTGTGACACTGGGATGCTACTTGGCAGCCTGGAAGAGAGGCAAGAGAGGAAGTGGGCAGGTTGTGAGGCAGTGCATCGGAAATGAGGGAGAGGGAGAAGCTGTGGGTTGAGGGAGTGAAGGTGCAGGTGGAACTTGAGGATGCAGGTGGATCTGATCTCCAGGCTTATGGCCTGAGGGATGGGGTGTGGTAGGCAGAACGGTAGCCCCCTAAAAGCGCCTGCCCTCTTGTTTCTGGAACCTGTGAATATGTTCATGACAAAGGGGAATTAAGGTTACCATTTAGCTGACCTGCACATGGCGTTGTCCTGGATTATCTGGTGGGCCAAGTGTGACCACATGAGCTCCTCAGAGTGT